GGAGGCCCCCAAGGTGGTGTCCCCCAGTCAGAGGGGGGGGGGGGGGTGAGCACACAGACTATAGTACTGAGGATCAGGTAAGTAATAAAACTTTATTTGAGCCCCCTAGATAAAACTGGCACTTAACCCTTATAGTTTGGGGTAGCCCCACTGCAGGGGTACATATTTTTTCTTTGCTTGGAGATGGCCTTTAGTCTCCTAAACTAGCCACCTGTTTGATCATAAATAAAAATGTTCTTTTCTCTTTGCCTTCAGCATGGACAAAGACAGTCAAGACGTTTGCCACGAGCTGAACGAACTCAAGAACAAGTTCCAGGCCATGAGGAAGCAGATCAACAACTTGCCAGGGATCGACATGACCCCCGAACAGCAGCAGCAGCACTTTCAGAGCCTGCGAGTCCAGGTTCAGACCAAGAACGAGCTTCTGCAGAAGTACAAGAGCCTTTGCATGTTTGAGATCCCCAAGGACTAGACGCGGCGTCGCTCTCTCGGGTACAGAGACAATGGGAGCAGGCTCGCCAGACACAGAGGACCCTTCAGACAATGGCATGGGGGCAGATCATTGCTGTGTACACAAACATTCTCTGTGCCGGCTGTACAGGACGACAGCGCCACCGGAATATACACGTGCTCTCTGGAAAAGGCCAACTTGAGTTTCATCTCCTCAACCTTGTGCCGGGACATTTCCATGTCGTAAGGGTGTTTTTTGTACAATGGATTGTTTATAATACACATGGACAAGTGTCTGTACAATTTGTATCTGGAGTTATTTTCAAGCTGGAAAGACTCCATGTTGTCATTTAAATCATGAGCTTTAAGCTATTATTAAGTATTCCCGCTGATTGGATAATTAAAGGGTGTTAAAATCTCTCCGATGATCTGTAAACTTGCTCATTGCAGGCAACTTGGCTGAGGATTGTTATAAGCCTAAAGCAAAGCCCACGTGCTTGAATGTACTTATGAAAGAGTATTTGAAGGTTACGTCTACCTTTCTGACCATGTTTCATGTTACAGCCATATTCAGGGTGATCATATTTGGGGTGTAACATGAAACATTGGCACTCCCCCAATCCCCCATCCAAACAGACCCAGACCATTCATTCTTAGTCTCGTCAATGATACTGAATGTCGGTACCAAGGACATGGATGGGAGGAAGAGTCTACAGGACAAGAGTCAGATCATTGCACCTGAAATCTTCGGGGTGATCATATGAAACATGGCCACATCATCATCCTTCCTCCACCAACTATCAAATTGGACTTGTAGTCTATTCATTCTTCCTTTCGCCCATGTTATTGAATGTCTGTACTGAAGACATGGACAGGAGGAATAGTCTGTAGGAGCCAGAGCATTGCACCTGTGACCTTCAGAGTAATCATACCAGGCCGGTGTCACTCGGTGCGCACGTCATTATGTATACACGTGACGTCATTACGCATGTGCGTAATCACTTCACTGACGTTGGCCATCTTGATAATGGACGCCAGCAAAGAGCAGAAGGGACTTCATTCGGCAGGATAAGTTATGCGGCCGTGTCCCCTCCTTTTGTGCAGCTGTCGGGCTCTCAGTCCATGACTGAGTGCCCAACATTTCAGAGGGGGTGACACCAAAATTACTGTCAAAATGACCACCTCTAATGGTGTGACGCCCCTGTTGGGGTGTAACATGGTCACATTGGCATTTCCCCCTTCACCTATCCAAACGGACTTGTAGACCATTCATTGTTACTCTCATCCATGTTACTGAATATCTGTACCAAGGACATGGATGGGAGGGAGAGTTTGCAGGAGCCAGAGCACTGCACCCGTGATCTTCAGGGTGATCATAATTGGGGTGTGACATGAAACATGGCCAAATCGGCACCCCCTACCACCACCACTACCCATCCAAATGGACTTGTAGTCCATTCATTCTTCCTCTCATCCATGTTACTGAATATCTGTACCAAGGACATGGATGGGAGGGAGAGTTTGCAGGAGCCAGAGCACTGCACCCGTGACCTTACTGGCCTCATTCCCCAACACTACCCATCCAAATGGACTTGTAGTCTATTGATTCTTCCTCTCATCCATGTTACTGAATGTCGCAGGAAGTTTGCAGGAGCCAGAGCATTGCATCTGTGATCTTCGGGGTGATCAAATTTGGGGTGTAACATGAAACACGTCACGTTGGCACCTGTCAAACCCCCCTTTTACCTGAGTTGTGGGTTTTTAACTCCAGAGGCTGGTGTTCAGTTCTTAATTTGGCTCCAACCACACAGCCACGTCATCCAATCGACCACCGCGGCAGAGGGACTCCATGAAATATAAGTGTGTTGATGTCATTGCACTTGTAGTCCTCTCATTCTTCCTCCCGTCCATGTTACTGAATGCCCATAGTGAAGTACAGACAGGGACGGGAGGAAGAGTCTGCAGGAACCAGAGCTATACACTGATCCACAGATCGCGGTTGCCCCTATTTACAAAAATAATAAATGCACATTTTTTTATTTTATGAAGAAGCATTCATTCATTCATGCATTTATTTTCTTTCACAAAGGTGGAATTTCCCTTTTATACCCATGACAAAAATGTGATATATTGCAGCGTGCCAGTCCTTAGATGTTGTGGCTGCATTTGATTGCTCAGCCTTTTTTTCCCCCCCCTTTATTTCCTCCTGGTGATCCTGCTACTTCCTGTCCTAGAATGACCACGCTCACGCTATACTGTATCTGTGAAGGAGCGGGATTGTCACCCTCACACAGCAAGTTAGGACCACAGAACACATAACATAGGGGGAGTTGTTCTGTAGTCCTATCACACTTTGGGATAACATTGACACTGAAGCGTGCACTGGATTTCTAGAAGAATCAACAAGCATATTTTGGACTTATTGAACAGATAACAAAACCATTTTCCTGGTTTTTTTAACAGACCAACAGGAAGTGCGTTACTGGCCGGATCACCAGGTAAAAATAACCCCAAAAAATCCTGAAAAAAAAAACCGAATGCAGCCGCGTCATCTACGTAACTGGTCAGCTGCAATGTGTGACATCTTTGCTGTTGGACACACAGCAGCTCAGGGTGCGTCATTTAATATAATTCTACTTTACCAAATCAGAGCTGTGGGGAAGATGGAAGGTATTAAACTAACAGCGGGGCGTAAGCCTTTAGCTGCTGTGTGATGTTTATAAGAAAATGGGCAGAGAATTTGTGCAAGGTCTGAAGGGGAAAAAAATATATCAAGAACGTAAATCGGAACTCCGGACACAAAAACGTCAATCTATTCCTCAATAGCCACAAAGGATATAAATCCACTCTGTGGGCACCCAATGCCTTTGCAAACCTTGTCACGGTGGCAGTGACATCATCACTGTGCTGTACAAAGCCTGTGCAGAGAGCAGAGCTGTGGGTGGGACACAGTAAGCCCCACCCACTATAGGAGGGGGTGGGGACCAGACCAATCATCCTGCACAAGGAGAGAGGGCAGCTGTGACCGGTCTTTATTACAGGAGGGGGCGGAGACAAGACCAGTCACCCTGCACAAGGAGAGAGCAGCAGTGAGCGGTTCTTTATAACGGGAGGGGGCGGAGACAGGACCAGTCACCCTGCACAACGAGAGAGAGCAGCAGTGAGCAGTCTTTATTACAGATGGGGGCGGAGACCAGACCAGTCACCCTGCACAAGGAGAGAGAGAGAGCAGCAGTGATCGGTCTTTATTACAGGAGGGGGCGGAGACAAGACCAGTCACTCTGCACAAGGAGAGAGAGCAGCAGTGAGTGGTCTTTATTACAGGAGGGGGCGGAGACAAGACCAGTCACCCTGCACAAGGAGAGAGAGCAGCAGTGAGCGGTCTTTTATACTGGAGGGGGTGCTAGTGCCATTCGAATGGAATCTGTCCGGATATATGCAATGAGCCTATATAAATGAGCCCCTGCGGAAGTTTTATAAATGAGGCTTGTGCACGTTGCATGCAGGGACATCTCATATGATGCCTGTGCTCCCCAATGACCCATCCGTACTGGGTTATATCCAGGACGGCAGCCATTCCACTCACTACAACGTTTATTACCGGGTTCAATAAGCTGCAATCGGCCTAAAGGTATGAGCATTTCAAGAGCAGGGAGGCCCCTTGGATGCCCTTTAAAACGCAATCGTGTCATCTTCATCAGGCCTTACACTCAAGAAGCCTCCGATGGAGTGGGGATGCAGTCCAGCCTCCTGCTCAGCATCACCATGAGCGAGCTCACAGCTTGGGTATTGATGGCTTTCCATTTAGGTATGCCTTTTAATGACAGGTTCCCTTTAAATGACTGAACAGCTCAGTGTAGATCAACATTATAATGGCGGTGACAAGTTACACCTGTAATCTTTTCCTGTTTTATTGATCGACTTCCGGCAACACCGCTTATTAGATAGGCTGGGCCTACCTGGAAGACGTCAAAGATTACGTTAATCAATTAAGAGCCATCTATCATTTACATGGGTTGAAGAGGAAAGTTTTTGGAAGCTGGTTGGAGGCTGGGCATTGACCCATATCATTATCATGCTTGTGAGGCAACCTCGGTGTGACTGACTCGGCCAGAGAGCAGAGCGTCTGTTTGGGCTGAGGGATCAGATGACTAATCCTGACGCTTTGGAGCAGAAGTGGGCCTGCGACACGCTCCCTGCCTTAGTCACTGTGCTTTATTTCCAGCACTCAGCTTCTCTCTATCCAGTGCTTGATTCCAGAACAGAAGGCGGAAACTCCGCGCCGAGGGATCTGGATGGGACGTCAATATATCTAAACATAGCCCCCATCCCGCCGTAGATCGCGGCCAGCGTCTGCAGCATCCGGTCTTGCTCAGCTCGTTCTGTTCCTCTCCCACTCACGCTCTGACATTATTGACCTCGATCCTCTAGGCAGGGTTTAGAGGTGCATCGAAATCACTTTGTTGATAATCTTACCTTCCACCTACTGAAAAGTTTAAAAAAAAACCTGATTTGTTTATATTTTGCGAAACGCAAGTTCAGTCGGGTTTCTGAAAACGCAGCGCCCACGCCACAATCTCAGTAATTTAATACGATGGATGGGGTAATACATCAGGAGGTTTTAAAAGTGAAAACTTCGAGAGGCTCAAAACAAATGTGCGTGGTTTTATTTAAAGGGGAAGTGTAGTAAAAATGTTCTTTCTGCTGGTTAGTATATTATTGCTCCCCACAGTGATGCCGGATATTTGCCACAGCGCTCACCTTCCGGCGCTGCAAGCAGTAGAGGCTGTAACGCCATGCCTATTCCTGTCTCTCGTCCATTCACAAAATTCCTACCATTATTCCCCAGTAGGGATGCACCGATACTGAGTATTTGGGCGAGTATACTCTTCCAAATGCTCCGATGCCTAGCCCGATACTTCCGGTATCAGGAAGCCAGGCAGCGAGTCATTACACAATGCCCGGCTTCCTGATTGGCCATGCTCCCTCGTCACTTGCCAAACAGCTTAACCCAATAATTTGGATGCCCACATAACTGGTTGCCCATATACGTTTGTATGTCCACACAATTGGTTGCCCATATACGTTTGTATGTCCACACAATTGGTTGCCCATATACGTTTGTATGTCCACACAATTGGTTGCCCATATACGTTTGTATGTCCACACAATTGGTTGTCCATATACGTTTGTATGTCCAC